AAAAAAAAAAAAAAAAAAAAAAAAAAAAAAAAAAAAGAATGGGAATTTAAAGATTAAACTGAACTCAGAGTCTTCTAAGCACAGAGTCCTGAACACTTGTATAGCCCCAGGGGTCACAAAGCCAGCTCTGCCTCTACCATAGGAAAAACTAGCAATGGTATCTGTAGGATGAGGTTTCCTCAAGAGCTGTCCATTTAAGCTACATGACACCACTCATCGTCACAGACTTAATCTAGTTAATGTCAATGTACTAGGTTTATAAGGCAACACACCCTGTCAAAATCCAACTATGCTAATGGAGAGCACGGAGGTTTAAAGAGTTCAAGATAAGAGTTAACCCTTAGATTTTTCGATTGGCATTCACCTGACTCTGATAATAAACAGCAAAGAAACTTCCCTTTAAGCCCAACAGAATCAGCCAAGAAAATCATGGAGAAAATAAAATTGTTGTGGTTCTTAAGCCGCTAGGTTTTGGGACTATTTTGTCCACACGACTAGATCAGCATAACTGATGAAAGAAATTCCATCCAGAAAACATAGCCACTATGACCACAGCAGAGAAGGAATTTATCATAAGAGCTAGGATTAGGAAGCGAAGGACTAAAGAAAGGAATTGAACACCAGGAACAGCCCAAAAGCCTACCTGCAGCAGTGGAGTTGAGGTTGGGTGTTGGGTCTGGGCACATCCAGGAACAGGATTGGGACTGGGAAGGGGCTGCTGTAGCAGTCTGTGGACTTCTGCACAGCTACCACCTCTGTGGGGTGGTTGCCAAGGATCCTATGGTGAGCCTGGGGCCAGGGTAGGTCAGCTCAGTCAGGGTTCAGAGGAAGAGTCAGACATGGAGGAAAGAAGAGCGAGATCACCAGCCCACCTGCATCTGTTTCTTACAGCCTCTTATGTCCCATCTTCAGACAGCTATGGCTGCTGCTTTACTTTCACCCTCCAATTTCAAATCCATTATTCTTTTGGCCAACTGTACCAGAGAACTGTAAGGTTTCTAGAAGATACAGGTCTGATTTATCCAAGTTGCCTGAGCAAAGCCACTACAATCATGGAAGTGTGCAACCGTGACAAACTGTGGATAGCAACAGATTTCCTCATGCGCTAGTGAGGGGTCCTATCTGACCTCAACCCAATAAAAAGGCAGCAGGTTAGAAGCTCTGAGCTCCTGTGACACGGTGGAAACACTGGTGGCATTGACAGAGACTGTCTAGCCCTTCCCATATGGAACTGTAGAGCCATATTGGACTGGTCTACTTATTCACTTTAATCTATATTTTAAAGCTTTTGTACTCCTATTTTCTGGATCAGTAATAAGCCTGAATAAAAATTTTTAAGATAAGTTTGAGCTGCCATTTTCATCAGTCTTCTAACTGATTCATATATTCTTGAGAACGAAGAGAGAAGGACAAACTGTCAACAAGCAAACATGAAGAAAAGGGGGAAAATGGCTGCACAGTATTTCTTAAAATAGAAGAAAATTAAATGATAACCAAGACCTGTCATGCAAAGGTACAAGATCCCAATGATGAATGTAACTGTACTGTATACCTAAAATGTACCAAGAAACTCAATGAGAAAAAAAAAATAGAAGAAAATTTAAAAACCAAGAAAATGTATGGTCATGAAAAAAAAAAAAAAGAAAGGATTCAAGGAGGAAAACTCAACCAACTGCTTTAATTAGTGCTGTGCATGGGTCATTGCTTTAGGAGCACAAAGTAAATTAGTAATATTAATAAGAGCAATTTTTAAGGAAAGATAGAGAGTAAGCAAATACACATTCTGTCAAGATTCTTTACTATGAAACATAGTCAAGAGCAGATATTAGATGTAACCGTAGCAAAGAGGGCCTTTGTTTGTAGAGACATTGTTAAATTTTATTGTAAACATTATACAGGATTATATATTTTTAACTTTGTATACATAAAACTGACTGAAACCTTTAAAGTCTGGAGTCAGATTATGGCATAAAGGTAAACTGTGGTTAAATCTTTATTTTGAAATCTGCAAAAATGGGATGACAGTACCTACCTCCAAGTGTACAGAACCCATTAAGCAATGGTACATGTTTGGCTATATATAT